TCGATTAAAAAACGCATAACCTTTAATACCCCTAAAATGGACCGTTTCAAAGATATTTTAATTTAAACTGAGGACTGCACAACGCTGAAACCAAAAAGTAGGGATTTTGAATGGATGATATCCACGGTAACAAATGACCATGGTCTCACTAATCGCTGTCAGGCATCTGTCAACTTTGACATTGGACGATTATTAGACAATTAATCGAAAATATTTAATAAAAGTTTACCTCAGATTCCAAACATAACTTAGAATAAATCCAAATGGATCTCGTAGCATTTAATTCATACAAAATTTACAAAAATTTATTGTCAAAGTTAACAGATGCCTGGCAGGGATTTATGTGACCATGGTCATTCGTTGCCGTGGATACCATTTATTCAAAATCCCTATTTTTTGATTTCAGCGTTGTGCAGTCCTCACTTTAAATTAAAATATCTTTGAAACGGTCCATTTTAGGAGTATTAAAGGTTACGAGTTTTTTAATCGAAATTGATTACTCTATCGATTTGGGCAATAAAAAATTGGTGTTAAGAGAGCAAAAAAATGGAAAAACACAGAAAATGTGACCTGCAACTGCTGGAACCGGAAATTGAGTGGATGTATCCGGTTTTCGTGATTACCAGTTTAAAGGGTATGTTGTCACAGGGAAATGTTCTAAATTTTATAATATTTGGTCAAATAGTTCCAAAGTTATTACAAAAAAATTAAATTTCCATATCCACATTCCGAGGGCTGTAAAATTCTTATCAGTAGAGATAGGACACGAGTTATTATTTATTATATTATATTATATTATATTTATTATATTATTATATTGCTTCATATTTATGAATAACCCTGTATACATTAAATTATGATTATAATAAACAAGCTTGCTCAAATTATCAAATTACAAATACATAAATTTATTTAAGAAATGTATTTTGCAAGTATACAGTTTGTTCCCGGATTAAGTTTACAAGAAGAAATTTTTTTTTAGCTTGACTTGACTTTTCAGGTTCTTTATCTACAGCTTTCAAAAATCAAGATTGTACTTAGAACTAGTTTTAAATGCCTATATAATTTTTTTAATTCGCATTAAAGTTTCTATTTTGATGAGAGGAAATGCGAGCGGCATTATAATAATTTCGATCCTCATTTTGCTCTAATGTTCGGTATTTTTTGTTTAAATTTTCTCTACACTAATAATTTGAGAAACGTTACACAAAATTTCACCGACGAAATATGAGAAGCCAAAGCATTGGACTGACTCAGTAACTAGACACACTTCCTTGTCTCGGGTTCAGGAAAATCAGCCATCCGGATGAATCTGTTACGTAATAGGTACTGTCGTTTCTCATCTTCCAAACCATAATAAAATCGATTCCTTTCTTCTGTTGCGCCACCAAAACATACCTACTCCATTATAATTTTAAATATCACCGAATCAAAAAAGCTACAATTTCATTTTTCTATGATTTAACGAGGGAAAGCATTTTTAAATTGGAATCGAGGAATCGACGCGCTTCAATACCACTTCCTGAAGACATTCTCCAAAGTGGACCATGGGAACTTCTGTCGTCCTTGAAAAATCCAATTTATTGTGACACTTTTCTGATATTTTCTAAAATCAAACCCAATTTAAGTGCTAAAAAAAGATATATTTTTTGCTTGGCGTGCCAGTGGCAAACAGATGCTTCCGGTCGTTTATCTCTTATTGTTTATGTTTTTCTTCCATCAAGGGGTCTTAATAGAGCACCGGTAGCTTTGATAACTAAAAATAAAGTGTTCTGTTATTTGTAAACTTGTCTGTATCTTCATAATCAGAAGATTGTCTAATTGGAAAACTATTATTTGAATGTCTGTTTTTATTGCTTTGTAGACTTAACCCATCTGTAGATAAGTAATTAATTACCTACAATTTTCAATTGACTGAAGATATTACGGAAAAACTAGAGACGTCTTAAAGCATATAACACTTTTAAATCACTTTTTTTAAGAGTTCGGTGTTTGTAGCTTGGCAGATCAATTGCCATTTTTAATTTTACTGATTTATTGAAAGTTATTTCTTTTTGTGAAAATGAAATTTGATAATTTCTGTAGTAACTTATTATAGTCAATGTTATAATCATGCATAAAGAATCGACAGTTTCATTTTATTAAGAGTGAACAAAGTTCTTCTTACTTTTTTCAGTTCAATATTTTTAACGCTTATTTAAAATTGGATTAGATACAATAATACAATACAGAGTCATTCAGTGAATTATCAAATTCGATAAGGGTTTATTGTTTTTTAAGACAATTTAACCAAATCATTATGTATTTAGTAGAAGGTGCATTTTAAATCTCAATAATGACTATTATCATTTTTGGGACGTACTACATTATTGAAAATAAGCAGTAACAATGATTTTGAAAACTTTACTATTTATTATTTTTTGCAATTTATATTTATATAAATATAGGATTGTGAGAAATAACAACAATCTTATGCAAAGAGAAAAGGTTATAATTCTATAATTTTATAAAAAATGGGTCGAATAGGTAATGAATAAGAAATGTTGTGGAAGGGTAACGCACGCCCACTTCTCTATTTGTGTAGGTATAGTATACAGGTGATCTTAAAGTAAAATCAGTCTATTTTTGCTTGTATTTTATGGTTTTGACTTACCAAACTAGTTAATGGGGGATTTAATGAGGGTGATTCTAAAGCTAATGTTACTACCAATGCGACCAACTGGCCGTGGATATGTCTTTATGGAAATAAACCTTTACAATTGCCTCTATTGAACCTTAAAATTCAAGCAAATATAGACAGACTTAGTAATTTTTCCCTAGGTATGTCAGTTAGTTCTTTTTGAAAAAATTTAATATTTAAAAAATGGCAATGAAATGAACATTTTAAATAAAATGTTATACAGTTCGCTTAAAAAGTGGTGCACCAACTCAATGGTACGTTTTTGAGGTCTTATTTTACAAAATTTTAAACTACAAACTTGTGTATTTTGTTTAATTATTCAATTAAAATTATTTTCTCAAGTTTTTGAATTTTATTTTAAGTAATCGTTTCATAAATCAGTGACGGATAATTGTTTTTGCATCCACTTTCAATATTTATCAGTAGGTGTTTGAACTTTTAGAAATTTTTTTGTTCAAAAAAAAATACCGTTTGTAGATACCATATAACGACATTATGGTAGAAGCGACATAAAGATATACCGTGTTCACAACCTTTTATGGTTTTGATTCTTTAATAAGTTTATGGCTATCCTAACATAAAACTGTAACCGCCACAATGTTTATTTTCTAGGAAATTATTACTGAGGTTTCAAAAATAATTTTTAGTGTTGTTTAATTGTAGTACGAGTACCATTAGACAACGTTGCCACATTCATTTTTTTTCGAATACGTTTTTTAATATTATTTTTAATAGTTATACTTTTTTAATTGTTTTTAAACTTTTGTATTTGAATTTTTCGACTACTTGTGCCCCACAGGGTGTTAAAAAAAGATTGTAAAATATTTTAGGAGGTAATAGAATAGACCAAAACAAACAATTTTTTTTATAAATATGGGTCTGCAAAGTAACGGTTTCGGAGGTATCGTAGATTATTCGTTTTTTTGCAATCTGTTCAAACAAAAAAGAGAAGCTTCTAGTGAAAATTCCAAAAATTTTCACATTTGATATCTCTGAAACCGTTACTTTGCGGACTTATGTTTATCAAGACTTTTTTGTTTGTTCTGGTCTATACTACACTGGTGGACACGGAATTTTGGACGATTTGTCATTCGACTGACATAAAAATGTAAAATGGGCCTTAGGCAACTACCCTCACTTTCGGTTTTTGTAATTTTTATCCTGAAGCTAGAGAAAAAAATGACAACAATTCAAAATAATTTATTGAACTTGTATAAAAAGACGTATTGCTGGCATTATTGTTTCGAAAAATCGACGCCAAAAATAAATTTCAACTAATTGAACTTTCAAATTTTAGTTTCAAACGTCAATCATAAAGACAATAAAGCGTGGCTTGCATTGACATTTTTTGAACTGACATAATTTGATGTCCAAAATTCTGTGTCCGCCAGTGTATTACCTCCTATTTTATATTTCATAATAATCTCATTAGTATATTTTTATTTATTTTATATTTTGCAATCTTTTTTTAGCACCTCGTATGCACAGGCTGTGGCGTCTTACACTAATGGCTTTATAAAGTAAAAATATAATTTTTGCTTAATTTATACCGCGTGATTCTTACACATAAACAATAATTTGACTTATTACACTTATTACTTTTATGACAGTATTGGATAAATCACGTATCTTAAATAATAAACTATTATTATACAGAGTGGTTATAAATGATTTTCATCTAGTCAGCTTTGGATTTTTTTGCATGTAACTTTATTTGTGCCGCTCTACTTTTTTGAAAGCTCTAGTTCTGTCATTAGTGTCACTTATTAATCAATAATAAATTGTTGTTAATTAAACTTTTATTGTTTCAACTAATTTCCAATAATAATGTATACTTTGGAAGAATACAATTTTATAATTGAAGGCTATTTTCGAAGTGGACGCTTAGTAAACAGCGAATTTTTAATTTTGAGTTAAAACAAGTAGGTACTCCTTATTTTCGTAAAGCGGCATTTTTTATTTTACATGGAAAATTCACAGATGAAAATTATTTATAACCACTTTGTATAATCTGTTTATACATATTTAGTGTATTTAATTGTAACAATTAATGGATTCTATTTTTCAAAATTCTATCGTAATTTATAAATAGAGATTTATATACGCATAGTCTCAGAAATAAAGAACGAATAAAACAACCTTAAGAAGATTGAGATGTAAAAAAGGATTTTTAGGAAACAATTTTAATTCCTACAAAGTTTGTTTTTTTATTTACGCTCGGTATTGCAGTTCAGGGATAAATGAAATATCCAATATCTTCTGTGTGATATAATAATTTAACAATGAACAGTAAATTTAAAAGAGATTTTTCTACTTGCAGGATGTCTCTCCGAGCCACAATGTCTCAAATGCGGCCCCAAAGGATGTATCAAATGTCCCAATTTGATAGTGCATCCGTCGCGTCGATGCGTTACCACGTGTCCGTATGGTCACCAGCCCAGATGGAGCACCCGTCTCGACTATATGGGTCGCATCTGTGTTCATAACGGCAACTTCCTGGGTCTCCCGTCGGAAACCGCTACCGTCCTCACCGGAGTCATTGCCGGAACAGTATTATGCGCCATTCTGATTGGCTCAGCTGTGATTTATCTTAGAATTAGACGAAAAAACATGCCGCAAAACATTGACACCAGCTCGGATTTAGACGATTCGCCGGAAAGACGAGACTTCCTCAAACAGCTGGAGACGTTGAAGCCCTACGCGCAAACTTACCTGGATATGCTGAATGACACCAGGCGACAGGTGCGAGAGTTGCACAGAACAGGGGATACACAGTAAGTTATATACATTTAACTAGCTTGCACTTGTGACTTCGTCTACGTAGATTTGTTAATTTCAATGAGGGAATGTGAAGTTAGTCTGTTTATCTATTCTTTTCTTAATTCACCAACGTAAACCAACGCGGGAGCAGCAGAAGGCCGGTGCTAAAGAAAATGACAAAAGCACGTTACAAACGTTTACACCCTATTTCACCTTGGTTGATTTTCAAAAAGTGTCTTCTTAGAGCACTTCTACACTCCCAAAATCTACATTTTATGTTTACAATGTCGTTTACTCGTAAATGTTTGTACCCTATTGATACTGTTAAAGGTTAGTTTTTGAAAAGTGCCTGATTAGTGACTTCTACACTCTCTAAGAAAAATATTTTCTAATTGTTATCTTCCTATCTTCGTTTAAACGTAGACACCTCGTTACACCCCCTTAGAAACTTATGTTAAAAAAATCTCGTCTTATTAGTACACTTTTACAACCGCTAAGGAACATATTTTCCAAATTTTATGTTTCTATTTTTGTTTAAGTGTTGACGCCCCATTTCACTTTCTTATAAATATATTTTTGACAAATTCTTTCTTAAGGCTCTAGGGTACCGAATGAACTGTTCAGATTTGGTGTACTGTAAGTTGCATACTCTATTTAGACTTTTATTCTGTGGCAGCTGTCAATCATCCGACCTTCTCTACCTGGTACCTGGTCCTTTAGTCATAAAATGGAAATAAAGTAAACAAACAGAATTTCACCATCGATGAGTTTCTCTTATTTCAAAGATTCAGATTCTAGCTCAGTAGAAAGAAAAGTTCATTTTTCTCTTGTTTTTGGACTTTGGAATAATTTTTTGACAATAATCTCACTTTGACAAATCAGTTTTCGCAAGTTAAATAAAACAAAGTGTGGGAAAAACATAATTTTGATAAATAGCAACTCAAAGAAATAGAGATAAAAAACAAAGCCATTTTTAAAAAACTATCATTATTTATTAATAAATTAAAATAAAATTTTATCTTTCATTTTTCTTCCACCGCAGTGCTTTGAAATAAGTGATATTTTTGAACAGTGATATTTGTTCTTTTTTTTATAAGTTATTTTGTTGGGTATCTATTTAATTACATACTAAATTAGTGTTATTGTGGCCTCTTCTTGGTAAGTGTAATTCCTAATTTCTTATCACTTGTTGAAAACGTTGTATTGAAATTATGGGTAATAGTTCTAAACAATTTCTTTCAAAAAAAAAAGAAAAAGCCGAAAATGATGCATAATTATTGGAAAAAACAACGAAAAGGTTCTAAAACTGATCTTCCAAGTAAATCAAGTCTTGCAGAATGTAGTTTTCAGTCAATTGAATCGAGTTCCGATGACGATGAAGTGTTTATTATTGACAAAGAAACTAGTCAAGAACAAAATTTTGTTCCAAGTGGTCGAAGGATTGTTGACATAGGGCATTTATTTTTGGAATTAAAAAACATAAAACATAACATTTTTTCTTGTAGTTTTTTGAACATTAACATCATTCTAGAAACACATTTGTGGTTTAAAAGTGTTTTTAAACACAAATGTAGTATGTGTGGGGCAATAAGAACTTTTAGTACCGAAAAAGAAAATCACACAAATGAAGTAAATGAAGCAGCTGTTTGTAGCATAGTAGCAATAGGTGCTGGTTATTCTCAACTAACAGAACTTCGATGGAAGCTGCATATATTATATAAATATGAAATGTAAAACCAATACAGCAAATACTGTAAAAAATATCTTATATAGTGTAGGTGTGTCTAAATTTAAAAAATTGCCCGAACCTCTACTATGGGGTATTGATAATGAAGAAAAAGCAAAGGAAAAGTTTGAGCAAATCACAGGTTTCAAGGTGGACTCATGCGGCTTTTTTGTTGATGAAGAAAAAACATTTTTAGGTGCAACACCAGATGGATTAGTCGGTTAAAATGCTATTGTTGAAATTTAGCGCGAGATACACCGATATTAAAACTGCCATAGAACGAAATAATACACATAACACAATAACGATAAACATAATATGTGTCTCACCACAAATACCTAGAATCGTTTTTAACACAAAATTAATTTGGCTAGTTAGAGCTGTCCGTAAAGACCAACTCATATAATAATCCCTAAGCAAAAACCGTCCTCAGTAAAATTAATATAAATATTATATTTTAATTTTTTATTTTTTAGGTTTACGTATTGGTCTTAGTGCCTTTATATTAAACCTATCTATTTTTTTAATTTATTTTTAAATAGATGAATAATAAAAAAAAATAAGTTTTGAAATGAACTAACAATTCTCTTATTGAAGGGTGCAAATGCTTATCTTTGCTTTGAACAAACGCAATAAAATGATCATGTTGTGGGTTACACCCTGCGGTGCGGCCCGGCCTGTCATAGATTATGGCTCCAGGTACAGAAGATCGTGTATTATTGGTTGCCTACGTTCAATTTAATTTTTGCTTTATATCAAAGAATCAAGAACAGTTATCAAATTCGCATTATATCAGGGCACTGTATTTTTAAATTACCTATAAACTGTTTTCTTTTTAATTCAATACGGTATACCGTTATCAAAAAATCTTAATAATTAAAATTTTCACATTTTATTCAATAAAAAAATATCTATTAACTTATTTAAAGCGGGAATATTTCCCTGGTCTCCATTTACCTTTAAAGAAACACTACAAACATCAAGAAACTCTTCAAGTCCAAATTTGCGGCTAAAAACAATGAAATAAATTTACATGTAATAGGTATACGCCAGCTTTCAGGGGGTACATCCTCTCAGAGCAACATAAGATAACTTGGATTGCAAAGGCACATCTTAATTTAATTAAATTAGATCAAGAAGTAAGTGAAATTTGTTTTTTGGGTTGCATCGCCAGATCGTCAGGCTCATTATCTTATCTGAATTGTCCTGTACAGGGTGCCTATTTTATCTGTTCCTTCCTTAAATTTCATAAATAGGCAACCAATAATACAATAATTTGTTAATTTCTTGTTGTTGTTTCCATTATTATACATTTGAGTTTTGAATTTAATTTTTTTTTTCGATAGACAAGCACCGACTATGATTATTTAATTTAGAATAGTTAATACTTTACACAAAATAATTTATGAAGTGTATAATATGTTGCCTATTTTTGTTCCTTCAGGCGGGAACAGATAAAATGGGCACCCTACACATATATCCCACGGTGGTAAGATATTTAGGTGATGCAGCAAGCCCTGCAAACATGTGGCCAAACCGGTCACGCTCAATTTAGAGAGAGATAGCGTAATCGGGCCATCATTAACAATATTAACAATAAATTAAGGAATGAACCGAAAAGTTGCAGTTGTATAAATGATAATAGTTATATTTTTTTTTTAACACTAGTTCATATAAAAAATACACATCATATAATTACTACCTATACATCTAAATTTAAATTCTATATGAAGAAATATTATCTAAATGATAAAACTTTGCTTGAACTTATTTTTATTACATGCGTTTCTGTTGAAAAACGTAGAACAAATACATATTGAATTTTACTTGAAAACAGTTATTAGGTATATTAAATAATTAGTAAATTAGTAGGTATATTAAATAATTAAATTAATACTTAATTAAAAATAATTATTTTTAAATAAGGTAATTTTATGAAATGGATTATCGAAGACAAAGATTTTTCAAGAACAAATTACATATTTCGTAAGAGCATAATATTCTAAGAGCCAGTTGCATAATCGAATTTATTGAGCATTAAATTAAATGTTGTTTAAAATGTGCTAATTACTCCTTGAGCAAAATTTCTCATTCCAAATCAACATTAACTTTAAAGTCTCTTTAATTCGATCATAAAACTGGACCTAAGTAAAATTTAATTCTTATTTTGTACTCAATGTTAAAGAGTGCTTTTATCAACTAATTTTAGTAGATAAAGTAATCTTTTATCGTCTAGTGAAATAAAATATTTTTTATCTACTGTTTATATTCAAGAAATTCTGGTAGATGAGTACACAATAAAACAAAATATTTATTAAACACGACTATAAAGATCGTTTTTATACTCTTTTATAATAAAGTCCACTCGTGGCTTCGTCCCTCGAAACTTTATTCTTAATTTAACTTTGTTAACCTTTTCACTCGTCGATAAACAATTTCTTTATCGTCTTGTATAATAAATAACCAAAATTTAAAATTATTAGGAATTCTAAAACTGCCGTAACACAACATCAATTTATCAAAAATTTGTTATTAATTAATTCAGTTTTTGGACTGTAGTTATTTTTGTATATTTGTATTTTTGTAGAGAAAAATGAAATCAGAGAGATCAAATATATAAAGTTCATTTCACACCCTTGCGTCGATTACTACTTTTTTAAATAACGTTACTTTGAACTGAACTTTATTTTATAATTATTGAACCATAATTGTCACCATTCGGAATTGAATGTAAAGACCACAGACTAGAAGGTAATAAATAGAAGGTAATTGTTGCTTTTTCAATTTTTTCAGCTTTGTTTAACTTGTGGTTCAAATTTAACAATATCCTGGACAATATGGAAAAATCGTACTGCTTCTTCTAATTTTGGCTTTTTGAGATAAAATTTGATAAGCTGTTTCAATCTAGAAAAATTATGTTTTATGGTAGTTATAATTTTAATTATTTTTTTTAGATTTACCGTATAACAGCCAGTTTTTATTTCACGAATTATATGTTTTGCTTTAAAATGTTTTTTACACACATAATCCTTTACAGTGAAAATACAGTCTTTTTGGAACTATACGGTTAGGCAACATTTTCCGGGTAGGTATCGGAAATAAAGATAATTTTTCATTATTTTTGGCATGGCCACTTTTAAAATTGGGCACATATTTTTTCCCATTTCAAAACGTATAAACATGTATTAGAACAATATATAAAATTGCTGAAGTAACCACCTCAGGTGCACTTTATTAGGCGGACTTTCGGGAACGAATGGCCCGTATATGTCATCCTTGTCTAAAAAT